ATATGCTTCAGTGCAGAGGAAGGGCCTGAGGATGGAGATAGGTGGGAGGGGTCATGGGAGTGGAGTGGGCGTGAGCCTTGGAGAAGGAGCAGGACCTCCTCCCAGGGGAAGATAGGTTGGGCAGAGATGGGGTGTGCAGAGTGTGAGAAGTTAGATTGTCAGTGGACAATTGGGCTGGTGTGCTGGGGGTAATGTGAGGTGAGAGGGCCCAGACTGTAGCAGGTGGTGGATGCCAAATCAAGGAGTATGAACACAGGAAGCTGGTGTAGGCTGTTGTGAAAGATGATATAGGCACATTCTATGGGTCATTTTGTTTTAGATGGATCAGAGAAGGGAGATGTTAGATCTGGAGATTAGGGTGTCATGTTACAGCCATTGCCCAAGATGGGGGTAATGGACTCAGTTGTGGGGAATAGCTGTGGGGGTGCAGAGGAAAGCTAGAAGGGCATGCAGAGGAAAATTAAACTGTCCTGGATACAAGGAAAGAGAAAAGGAAGAGTTAGGCAAGACATCTGCAGAAATAGGACAAATAAAGAGGAAAAAATGCTCAGGTGAGCTTTTGTATGTGCAGTTATGAGGTAACTAGAGGCCCAATGCACGAAATTTGTGCAAGAGTAGGCCTTTCTTCCCCCAGCTGCCAGCACCGGCTTCCCTCCAGCCACTGGCAGGCACCCAGGACCTGGGCTTCTCTTTCAGCCCCTGCGTCATCTGGAAGGTCATCCGGAAGGACGTCCCATCTAATTAGCATATTACGCTTTTATTATTATAGATGGGGAGACACTCAAATTGATACATCTAGCCAGTGACTAGCTGAGAACTGGAGACTTAATCAGCTGAATAGGGGTGGTGTTGAAAGATTAGAGAGAAGCTGAACTTTCTGAAAAAGTGCGGGATAAAGGAACCAGAGGGATTGAGTCTTGTCCACACTGAGGGGAGTGAAAGGGCAAGTGGAGGCCAGGAAGGCCGGGCAGAGCAGCTTGTACAATGTTAATGCACTGAGTGGTAGGAAAGTCAGGAGAAGGAATAGTGGCTGCTGGGAGGAGCAGCAGTGAGGTGGAGAAAGCTAAGCAGATTTGGGGAAGAAGGGCAGCGTTAAATATGCAAAAGCGGGGGTATCTGGTGGGCACCTGGCCACTTACCCTCTTTCCCCCACACTCTATTCTCCCTCCAGCTCCAATTGCCAAGCACTGGATCCCCACCACCACCACTTTTCCTGCCCACGGATCCCCCGATGGCCTGGCTCCTGGCCAAATGCTGGGTCCGTAGCTCTGACTTCCAGCTTCACGAGCTTCTCTCTCATCTTCTGAGGGGACATTTGATGGCTGAGGTTATCGCTATGGCCACCATGAGATGCCTTCCATCGATACACCCTATCTTCAAGGTAATACCTTATCCCCTTCTCTCCTGCCTGCCTCTCTGCCCCATGGCACAGTCCTGCCTCTGGAGGCACCCTCTCTGTGGAGTCTCAGGGTGTGGGGAAAAGCCAACCAATGAGAGACAAGGGAGCAAGAGAGTGAGGTGGCTTGCTCTGCATTTTCAACAGGGTTACATCACCTCCCAAGGAGATGTAAATGATTCATTGGCAAGGTGGGGATGAGAGGGTGGGAGGTGAGAAGTCTTACTCTTTTTATGTATAAAGCACAGATAGATGAACATACAGTATATAGGCAGTGCAGATTCCATCGCAAAAGGGAAGACCAAGCAAATAACATAGAAGACTTTTCCAGCCAGTTTTGACCTGTCCTAAAATAGTAACACACAGGCCAGTTAGACAGGCTCTGGTCCACAACAGTGGCCGGTTTTTTGTTTTTTAACAGACAATTTGAACTGAGTATTTATCCATTAACTTTTCTTCTTGGGCGCCTCCAGTGGGGCAAGAACCATTCCAGATGATTGCGCTAAGCCAGACAGAGGTCCTGATCTTTGGGGATTTTCATTTCCATTTCGGGCTCCCAGACAATGAAGACTATTATGACAGCTCAGCGGGGATAAGTGCAATGCAGAGAATCCAAGCGGAGCGATCTCATGTGGAGTGCAGGCTGAGCGGCCGGGAAAGGCTCCCTTGTTGAG